ATCCCCCCAAACTCAAGAGCCCACCGATGTGGGACAAAGAATTTGCCAAACTTCAACAAATCTTTCCTCTTTAAGAACCTATCAAGATCCTCAATTATGGATTTCTTTAGTGCTGGTTCTAATGCTAGTGTATCAAAAGTTGAAGGGTGCTCAAGATTAACTGAATCCCAAGGTTTGGAATTATAAGTAAGAATATTGGCTAGAGAATGCAACTTAACAACTTTTTTCTCATGAAACATGTCTTTGGCTTTGTTGAGTACAAAAGGGATGTAACGATTCATGATTTTGTCCTTGTATTGCTTGTTAAAACTTAGCTCAAAATAACGTTTCTCGTTAGGAAACATACCAGTATCATATTCATATTTTGTCATGGTCTTTTTTTCAGTATCGTGAACAAACCTCCAAACCAATTCAATTCCTTCAAAGGAATCAGTAATTTTCCAACAATTGGCGAATTTAACGTTCACTTTTGGGTCTTTAGGCCTTTTGCTAACGTTGAAATTGGGGGCTGTTTTGGCTGACAAGTAGATTTCAGCAGTGGCATAGACTTCGTTAGTAACCACGCCTTCTTTTTCTTCAATAGCAAGAGTTATGTTTGATGAATGAGGACGAAAATAACTAAGGATTTTGGAGACAATGTAGTTCTGGATTTGAAGAGGAATAACTTGATTCAGAATTGTCTGAAAAAGGGTAATAGTAGCAGACAATGAGGCATAGGCCTGGAATTTGACGAGACTGAAGGCATTCTCATCATCTTTACACAAACCTTAAGAAATTCGTAATACTTGGACGAGCCCTGCTATATGAACTATTTATACTGACTACTTTTGTTTTTTAACTACGATTCCTACTGCAAAAGGAGTGACTTTTCCGTTTTTACACAAGGAAAGAGAAATTTTCCTTTTTAGAACTTGTCACAATTTTTTTCAAAACGGAACCAAACGTTGCTTCTCTAACCAAAAAACTGTCTGTTTTATAGCATGTTGGTGAAACTTCTAAAATTAACTTATTTTGAAAATATTTTTCCAAAAATACTTTTCAGAAAACTTTTCAAAAAAAAGTATTTTTGGTGAGAAAGTTTAATAGGCTAACCAATTTGAAAATACTTTGGAGCAGCAACTAATATTTAACCAAACTTTTAAAAAGTGATTCTAAGTGTATATTTCTCAACAATACTTTTTTAAAAAATGCTCTTGGGAAGTAAAACATATTAACTTTTGGAAAAAAGTATTTTTAGACAAAAGAAAGTTTGGCCAAAAAGGTTATAGTATTAATTTACTCTTCTTCTTTCACCACCCAAAAACACCCGCTTCTATCACCAAACCACCTCTCATTACCATTATCGATCTATTTTAGAATATGATTTTTTATGGGTCGTCAATTTTATGCCAAACTCTAGGGGAGGAATCTCATCTATTTATTACTCTAAGTTATTTGACGGACATACTGAATTAAAGTTTGAATCCTATAAATTGATCCTCTCCCGGCATTTTAAAATACTTAACTCCATATGTATATAGTGTACGCAAGATTCTTACTATATAAATATGTTTGTGTTTGATTTTAAAATATATATCGCGTAGCCATAATGACTTATATTATAGTGGTGTTATGTGTTTTACGCAAAAAATCTTTTCAACAATTACCTACCTTTCATTCCCCATTTATTTTAATTAAACAATAAAAATTGTCAAAAATGTTAAACAATTATTGTAGGGTGAAGATCATTATTTTCGTCCAACTTTGTATCGCACACTTCTTCCCTTCATATATTTCAACTGAATGAATCCAATGCCTATTTCAACTTTGTAACGGTAAGTTATCTCTTTTTAAATCTATTAGTATTAGTACCAGCGCAATGCACGGATAATTAAAAAAAACGATCTACACCATGAAGTTTAATATGTTAGTTTTAAAACCATCTTTACAACCAAATATTAAAAACATATTAAGACTCCGGTAAAACTTTTTTCATCTCCTAATAAATGTTCCATAAGAAATAATGATACTATACAATTTGCTTGATATGAATGTTCCACGAAAAATAATAATGATATACAATTTGCTTGATATGAAGCATGTGCCTAAGGGAACATTATTGTAGCAAATGTTCATGGACATAATTTTCCAAAAGTTGTCCTCCATATTGAGGTTTAATTTATTACTACAAAAAGGCATGGGTAAAAAATCAAGAATTTTTGGTCCTTGAGCGATAATTTTTGACGGAAATGAGAAACAACATATATTGTATTACTGATGAGATAATGAAAACGATATGCCAGAATGATCTTTAGAAGGAAACTTAGTTGGCATCTAAAATTATTGCACACTTTCAGATATTTTGATTAAGTGTAGAAGAAAATATATTCAAATACATCAATAGCTTGGATTCTAGAAAGCCAATAGATCTCATCACGCGAATCTAGATGAGCTTCATGCACTTGGACTGCAGATAACATAGTCACATGCCATTGTTCCATGTCACTACAGGTAATATCTTTTTAGATTTTCTCAATGTATCTAGCTTATATTATGCTCTCTGCAATAAATTATCCAACTTTGCATTAAAGTAAAAAGTTGCATACTACCTCAATATAGAATTCTCCAGTTTCTGGTTCTTTGGCCATTGTTGTTGTCCACCCAGCAGCAGATGAGGATTGCTAGTATAATCCATTAGTATTCTTCATTTCTCACTAATCTACAAGCTCTAACATGACAGTATCACTCAAATATGATAAAATTTGTGGCAGATTAATCACAACAACATGACAATAAAATACACAAATACAGTAACCAATAATGATGGAGAGTAAATTATATATAAAGAAAACAGAGAAATACTTAATTGGCTTCAAGATTCTAGGAGTGAGGCGCTGGAAAAAAGAAAAAGCTAAAATGTCACCTCTGATGAACTGTCACATAACATAGTTATACCAAATTAAAAATATTAACTAAAGAAAATGATGCATAAGACCAAAAGATCATAAGACAATAACAATACTCAATAATTAAATGATAAATCATTTAATAACAACTCTTCCAATAGTTGCATGAATTCGATCTCCCTAAAACAAAAAATTTGAAAAGAAAGTTAAGTTAGTAAGGCGCATAACTTGAAGAAAATACACCACATTGTGTTCTCAAGGACTACCCCTATGGATCATAAAGATCACATTAGTAGCTACTTTTCAATGAGATTTACTAATAACTTCGGGAAGTACCTAGGCTTCCCTATGCCCAATACCAACCCTACAAAAAAAGACTTCCAATTTATCCTAGATAGACTGAACAATAGACTAACAGGCTGGAAAACTAAATTCCTTAATATGGCAGGTAGGACAACTCTCATAAAAGCCACCTTAGCTGCAATCCCGAACCACGTCATGCAGATTTATGATCTCCCCAAAACAATACTCAACAAGATAGATTCTATTCAAAGGAATTTCCCATGGGGTAGCACGGAGGAAAAAAAGAAATGTCATCTTGTAAAATGGAGCATAGTCACAATGCCTAAAAAACAAGGAGGCCTAGGAATTCCTAACACCCATTTGAAAAGTTCCTCTTTCAATATAGCTTTAGCGTGGAGATATAGAAAAGAGAAAGAGGGTCTATGGGCCAAAAATATACATATTATATACAACCACAGGAAAAGCAAGAATATAGGTTCCCATACTTGGAAGGTAATTGAAAAGGGTACTGAAATATGCAACGCCAATACTAAATGACTAGTAGGTGATGGAACAACCATTAATCTGTGGCATGATAACTGGATAAATCAATCAGGAACACTTAGGGACTCCATCCAAGGCCCTATCCCAGCTGGAGAGCTTGACCATATTCTCTCCAGCTTTATTAAAAATGGAATGTTCGACCTTAGAAACTTATCCTTTGAACTCCTCCCGGACATCATTTCTAAGATAAACTGCACCTACATAAACCAAATCGGACCCACTACGGATTCATACACTTGGAACTCTAAGGATTACAACTTCTTTTCAGTTAAAGCTGCTTATGAAGCTGTCTCAGAATCCATAGGCAACGAAAAACTTAGCCTGGCTATGGAAAATCAACTTTTTAAACAAATTAAAAATTTTCCTGTGGACAATCTTTTGGGATAGGCTACCCACTAAAGATTTGCTAAAAAAAAGAGGGATTTTCCAAGAAGACACTTGTAACATTTGCAACAGGGAAATTGAGGACATAGAACATATTTTATTCCGTTGCAACTACTATAGACAAATCTGGTATCAAATCAATACAAAACACCCGTTCTCTCAGAATCGTGTGGGAAAAAATACACTTCATAATTGGCTTAAAAACAAACTCTTGTCCAAGGTCTTTTTTAATAATTACCTACGCTGGTAATATTTTCTCCCATTTCTCCTATGGCATATATGGAACTTCAGAAATGGGATCCTCTTTAGAGGAATTAAAACACCCATCACCAAAAGTCAACCCATTAGTATGGCCATGGAATTCCTTTACATGGCAAAAAACAGTTGCTTAGAACCTACCAAGAAAACTATCTTTGTAATATGGGAACCACCCAACCCCAGCTTTTACAAACTGAATATCGATGGCTCTTGCGTAGGAAACCCAGGAGTGGGAGGAATAGGAGGGGTGTTTACAGACGAAAGGGGTCGTTGGATTTTAGGGTTCAATATGGGTCTTAACCATGCTACTAACATATATATGGAAATCCTAGCCCTCCTCCATGGAGTCAAACTAGCACTAACAGAAAAACTCCTTCCACTAGTAATAGAGACGGACTGCTTGGAACTATTAAACCTCCTAAAATCTAATAATTGTCTCTACCAAAATTTAATTGATGACTGCAGGTACCTATTATGGGAGGCAAATGATCCACAGCTGAAGCACGTCTTTAGAGAGGCTAATAGAGTAGCGAACCTGTTAGCTAAGAATGGTTGCAGCCTGGACACTTTTTGTACTTTGCAAACTTTTGTTGTTCCGCCTGTTTTTGTTATCCATGTTCTAAAAAGAGACATTCTAGGCACTATGTTACCTAGACTGAGCTCTAATTATAATAACTCTTAGTTGTTGTTGTTGAATAAATCGTTATTACCAAAAAAAAAAGGGGGATTTGAAACAAATTCCACTGTCCTAAATATACAAAAACTTTCTAGAAATGGATATGTTAATTAATGTCAAGAGAGATATGGGGAGATAGTAACTGTAGTTAACTGAAAATTTGAGACAAATAATATAATTAATGCGCCTATTAATTGTTACTTCTATTTATAATCTATGTCACTTTAATGCGTTAATGGCATGAAATTAATGCTTAAATCCTCTGAAATCTTGTCTTTTCTTTTTCGTCGGTATCTGCATTGGAGCCCGACTAGTATATTCGGATTTGCACTGCATAGGGTCCCATTCGGGGGGAAGCGTTCCCTATCAAAAAAATTTCTACACCTAAAGCTCGAACCCAAAATTTCTAGTTAAGGGAAGAACAACGACATCCGCTGCACCACATCCTTAATTTGGTGATTTTCCTTTCTTTTGTCGGTACTCCTTTTTTACCTCTTTAAAATTATATTGAGAAGTAGGTTTTGGTAGCCAAACTATTTGGTCCCTTAAAATTAAAGAGCATTAACCTCTCTTTTTCACTAGAAGAGAAATTAAATACGATTAGGCTGCTTCCAGATTTTACACGTTAGAAAGTCGCTGTAATGGCAACTTTCATTTATTTCAATAACGAAATATCACTGAATTCTAGATATCTCATTTTGAATAATCTTTCAATAAAATTTGAATTATATATAGATAAACTTATAAATATCATTTTATAGCATTTAAAATAAATATAAAAATATGTCATTTTTTAGACATATGAAGAAATACCATCATATAAATTAAGATAGGAGGAGTCATCATATATATAGATAAACCTATAAATATCAATTTCTACTTCTATTTTTCCCCGGTAAGTGTACATACCTAATTAGTCATACTTAGTATTTACCTTGTGCGCGCGTATATAGTCAACAGCGTCATACTAATTTCCAATTGTGTGTATATATATGTGTCCATCAAAATGGCGCAGGCAATCAATCTATATCAGTTCATTAACCATGGCCACGGCTTCGGCATTATTATCATCGCCATCACTTGTTTCCATTTGTGACAAATCCTTCATCAAACCTTCTTGTCTTACCCCTCCTAAGCTTAGACTTCACAAGCTCTCTTTCGTCGATCAATTCCTCAGTAATCAGTATATTCCTGTGGCCTTTTTTTACCCTAAACCGCAACGAGAAGAGTCAAACAATAATTCCCAACTTTCCCATATAGCTGATTTGTTGCAGAGATCTCTATCACAAACGTTAGTCTCTTACTATCCTTATGCAGGAAAATTGAGAGACAATGCTACTGTTGAGTGTAACGATATAGGAGCTGAGTTCTTGAGTGTTCAAATAAAGTATCCCATGTCTGAAATCCTTAACCATCCTCATGCAACTGATGCAGAGAGTATAGTTTTTCCAAAGGACTTGCCTTGGAAGAATAATTATGAAGGTGGTAATTTACTTGTGGTCCAATTAAGTAAGTTTGATTGTGGGGGAATAGCCATTAGTGCATGTTTATCGCATAAGATTGGTGATGGTTCCTCTGTGATTAATTTCCTTAATGATTGGGCTAATGTCACTCGTGATCATACATTTGTAGTTCCTTCTCCTAGATTTGTAGGAGATTCCATTTTCCCTTCACAAAATGGTCCTCTTATTGCTCCACAAAGTATGTCTAATGTCAGTGAGTGCGTACAGAAAAGACTCATTTTTCCTGCCGCCAAGGTAGATGCTCTTCGAGCTAAGGTAATATACTACCACCAGTTTACTAGCTATTTATATATATATATATGTCTTCTAAAATTTGTGCACAACTTTTTAGAAAGATATCGATACTCCCTCTGTTCTCATTTATATGGCGTAGTTCGACCTTTGCACCAAGTTTAAGAAAGAACCAAAAATAAAATTAGTCGTGATATTTGTGTGACTATAAAACTTATCATTCAAATTTAGGGATGTGCCAGAAGTTCAAATTTATTTATTTCCAAATTTAGAAAAGTGTCAAACGAAGGGAGTAGTCTCAACTATTAGGGTACAATCAAACCTCTTTAGAACAACCTCGTTTGTTCCAGATTTTTTTGGTTGTTACAGCGAAGTTTATAAAGAACATATATTATAACATACATGGAAGTTGGTTCCAAAAGAAACTTGGCTTTTATAGTGAATGATTGTTATATGACGATATTGACTGTATTTGTTAAAGGTACTCTTAAATGTGTCACCTACTTAAATAAATTTATCTTGCAAAAAAAGAGTGACATTTTTTGGGATTGAAGATAGCAGTTGAATCAGGAGTAGAGAACCCAACACGGGCTGAAGTTGTTAGTGCACTTCTTTACAAATGTGCAACAAAGTCAAAGGCAGCAGCATCAAGTTCTGGAAATATACAACCATCTAGGTTGGTTCACTACTTAAATGTACGTACGATGATGAAACCTCGTCTACCACGAAGTACAATTGGAAATCTTTTATCCGTGTTCTCCACAGCAGCTACGCAAGATATTGAGTTGCCAAGAATGGTTCGTAATCTGAGGAAGGAAGTTGAG